TTAAAAAGTAATATAGCTTAATGAAAGATAGTGAAATAACAATAACAAACATAAATACTATCCCATCAATACTATCTGCTGTATATTATAGTATAGTTAGAATTATATATGAAGTTATAAGCAGTAAATCAATAATATTCCAAATACTTTTAAAATAGCTTTTCTTTTGAATGTATATTTGTTTTATTTCATATATAAAAAAGAAGCCAAGAGCTCCCAAACTTACTATTGTGTTAATAATAGCAAGATAAATTTTTCTGTTATCATTTTCATCAGTATGGTTAATTTATCCTTAAAATGTTTAGTGATATATTTCAATAATCAATGATGCCAAAAATATGAAATAAATAAAAAATTAGAATTAGTAAAACTACTTAGTATACTTATCCCACTTAAAATTAATAATAGTCTGAATAACTATGTTTTCAAAATTTTCGTAGTTAGCAGTTTCGCTTAATGAATTCATCAGAACTAATTTGTTCTCAGATAGAGTTACTGGCAAATTTATCAAAAAATATTCTATCGAAAACTTTGCACTTTAATTTTTTTGCAAAGTTAATTCATCTTTGTATAAAATATCATATTATTTGTAAATTTCATGCAATTAGTCTAAATCAATTCCTTTAATAATTTCTTTGCCATCTTCATGATTTATAGGAAATTCATTATCAAAAATTTGAAAAATTGGAAGGTTGCTTTAAAAATACTCCTAAAGATCAATATTCTAGCTGATTAACTAATGAAGATTCTTGTCAACTAAGTCATTATATAAAACATGATTCTAATATTTTAGTATATTACTTAATATTAAGCTTGTTATCTTCTATTAACCAGTTTATAAATTGAAATCAAGTGGTGATTCTAAATTCTTTAGTCTTTGTAAAATTAAAATAGGAAGATCCTTCTAGTTGACAAGCTAAAGTAGTTTAAAGATTAATTCAAGGACTAAAATATTTGACTAGAAAATATTGATACAATTTCCAAAGCCTGGTAAAAATTGCAAATAGTAGATAAGCTTATTCTTAAGTATTTCAATCGCCTATATATCGGTTAACTTACAAAAATCTTAGTAATTTATGACATCTTTTGGCAAGAAATTTATATCAAATTAACCAGCAGGATGATTCATGTCTTTGAAGAAATATTTGATAGATTAAGAATCAATTTTTACATAGTCAGCATTTCTTAAATAACTAGCTAATATTAAAGGAGAATATAAATTAAGCTTTTCTAAATAGGAATTTGTATTTTGTAAATAACTGTAGAAGATATAGTTTTCATCCCTTCTAAAATAATTTATCGCCAATTATTTCTAATCATTTTTCAGCAATCCTCGACGATTACGTTAGTCATTCAAGGGACTTTAGCATTATATAGTAACTTTTTTAAGAATTTATTTATTCTTTAGATAATAGAAATAATGTTTATTAATAAACGTTCCATCATTTTTCTTTTTTATACAGTCAATGTGAACGAAACCTGGTTAAAACTCTATCATCTAAATCCTATAAACTTTATTTAATCGTATAATAACTTTATATTAGGAATTTATATCTAAAACAGCAATTGAACTGCTAAAATAAAAAATTTAGATTCCATTTTGTTCGTCTATAATGCTATGATATATACCATGTATTTCTATTTTTTTATAAAGGTCGAAATTACTTTTTTTTAACGATCTTATATCAAAAATTGTAATTTAACCTCTAAAAGTAGATGCAATTTATATACCTCAATCATTAATTTCATCTATCAAAAATACTCCATAGGAGTATTGGTTATTGAATATTTCTGAAAGTTTGATTGATCCTCCAATTTTTAAAAGCACAGTGTCTTTATCAATTAGTCTTTCAAATCTATCATCTTTTCTCAAATTCTCTAATTTTAAATTAATTTTTAGCTGAAATTGTTCAATATCATCTATACTTTTTGCATCATCCCAAGTCATTTGACTAAAATTGCTTAAATGTAACTTTTATATTTTCAAGATTTTATTTGCTTTCTCCTTTTCATTGAACTAAACTAGATGATAGCATTCTTCAATCTAATCATTATTGAATTTTTAAACATAAAAGGGGAAATATTCTTCTATAACGCTTGAATCTGCGAAATCCTTTAATTAAATTCCATCAAATTAAAGTTCCTTAGTTTAATAAAACTTGTAATTTTTAGAATATATGCTTATTCTAAAAATAAAATAATCCTAAATTTAATAAATTGATTGATTTTCTTGGTTAATTTAAAATTTATAGTAGCTATCTTGATTCAAAAAGAAATTATTTGTAAGTTAATTTAATTCGATATTGTAGATTGAAAAATAAAAAGTCTTTTTATTACTATCCTTCATTGATAAAATCATCATATTATAAAATAGCTACGCATCATTTATTGAGTTTTGATCATCAAATTTCAATTAAACTATTTTTTAAACTATTGGTTTTTTTGTCTTTGTAGGTGGAATAATATACAAATTGTTGGTTTAATCAATTGCATATCTCTAATCGAGTTTCTCCAAAAATCTAAATTTTATTTTTTCATAATCTGCTTTATTAACTAGTGTAAAATCTTTTTTGAGGAAAAATAAGCAAGTTTCATCTCTATCTTTTAATGCCAGCAAAAAGTGGTTATTCATAGGTCTTATTGGTTCTTTAAATAGAGATTTAAGGGCAAAAACTTCATATTCTTCAAGATAGATAAAATTATCCTTGATATGTTTTTCTTTTTATTGATCATATGAGCTCATCATATTTAGGCTTTACTATAATGACCTTTCTAGCAAGTTAAGATCGATTTTATCTTCTTTTACCTTAATTAAAAAATGATATCCTGAATATTGTCTAACATAGATTATTTTATCATTAATTATATCAAAATATTATAATCAATCTACAGATAACATAAAATGACCTTTTTACAGATTAAAATCATCCTCTAGAATTAAATCTAATTCTATCAATTTTGTATGGGTTTTAAGGTCTAGGGCTTCAGAAATAAATTCTTATTTTAAATATTCAAGTCCATTTATGATAATATAAGGATTTTCTTCTAAGCACATATTTGGAATTATTTTAATGGATTAGTTTAGTTTAGTATCCCATAACAAGGTAGATTTTTAAGTTTTATTCTAGCCCTCTTCATCAAGTGTGAAAGAAACAATTAGCATATTTCTTTTTTATAAAAGAAAAAATTATTTTACTTCGTAAATTTATTTAGATTTATCAAAAGAAAATAGTTCTGTCTTTTCATATAAAGATAAGGACCTCAAATCAAGTTCATTTTATTGATTCTCTTTAAATATTTAATGCATTTACATGTTTGGCTATGTATTTTCATTCTATGTTTTTTAACGATTAAAATCCATTTTTAAAATTTACTTTTAATTATTTGCCATTTAGAAATAAATTAATACTTTAATTTAGAAGTTCAATTAACTCTTTAATTTATTGAAAATGGAATAAACTTTGTCTTACATTAAATCAGTTATCTAATTAAAATAACCTCAATTATAAGTTATAGTAAATTATAAAGTAATAAAAACAAGACTGAATGTTGGTATCAAGAGTTAAGTTTTTAATTTTCTATAATTTGAGAATATTCTCATGATTATTGGGGATTATGACAATAATATTTATCTATTTTCTTCATCATTCATTTACTAAATTTTTCCTGACGGGGTTTTGGGGTTTTGGGGTTTTGGGG